TGTGGAGTTTTTGGTTGGGTGAGGTTTGGGGAGTTTTCCTTGAGTTTGGGTTGGTTGAGTTGGTTGAAGTTTGGTGGAGTTTGGCTGAGTTTGGTTGGGTGGCTCTTGGTGAGTTTTCATTAAGTTTCCGTTGAGTTTTGGTCGAGTTTTTGTTGAGTTTCTGTTGAGTTTCCGTTGAGTTTCCAGTGAGTTTCCATTGAGTTTGGTTGAGTTTTGGTCGAGTTTCTGTTGAGTTTCTGTTGACTTTCTATTGAGTTTGGTTGAGTTTGGGGGAGTTTGGTTGAGTTCCCTTGAGTTTGCGTTGCCTTTTTTTGACTTTCGCTGGGTGATTTCGGTTGAGTTCCGTCGAGTTCCGTCGCGTCCCCCCCGTCTGAGCTCCCGCCCCGTCTCTGTTGCCGCAGCTCCACGGGCAGGAGCCCGCCGGGAACCCGCTGAGCGCGGAGCCGAGCCAGCCGCCGGCCAGCGTGGACCTGGACTTCCTGGAGGATGACATCCTGGGCTCGCCCTCGGGCGCCGGCGCCGGCGCCGAGCAGCCGTGCGACATCCTCCAGCAGAGCCTGCAGGAGGCCAACATCACCGAGCAGACCCTGGAGGCCGAGGCCGAGCTGGACCTGGGCTCCTTCCAGCTGCCGGCGCTGCAGCCCGTGGTGCAGGCGGCCGACGGCACCCCCCAGATCTTCTCCGGCGGCGCCGACCTGCTGGGCATCCAACCGCCCGCCGTGCTGGCCCACCAGGCCCTGGTGCAGCAGCCGGTGGGCGCCGACGTGGTCAACAAGGCCATCAGCGTCCAGCCCTTCCTGCAGCAGGTGGGGCTGGGCAACGTCACCATCCAGCCCCTGCCCAACCTGCCCGGGCTGCCCAACGGCAGCCCCGGCGGCGCGCTGGGCATCGGGCCCATCCAGGTGGTGGGCCAGCAGGTGATGGCCATCAACCAGCCGGCGGCGCAGCAGCTGCTGGCCAAGCCGGCGCCGGTGGCGGCCGTGGGCGGGTACATCGCACAGCCCGAGGCGGCGGCGCTGGCGGCGGCGGCGGCGCCGTCCTCGCAGGGCGGGGCCGGCCTGGTCATCCAGAAGAGCCTCCCGGCCGTGGCCACCACCACGCTCAACGGCAACTCGGTGTTCGGCGGCGTGGCGTCGCCGGCGTCGCAGCCGCTCACCGTCACCTCGGGCCTGGGCGGCTCCCTGGTGCCGGCGCCCAACGTCATCATCCACCGCACGCCCACGCCCATCCAGCCCAAGCCCGCCGGGGTCCTCCAGCAGAAGCTCTACCAGATCACGCCCAAGCCCTTCGCGCCCAACAACGCGCTGGCGCTGCCCGGCGAGGCCCAGGCCAAGCCCCAGCAGAACCTGACCTTCATGGCCGGCAAGGCCGCGCCCAACGTGGTGCTCTCGGGCTTCCCCCCCAACGTCTTCAAGCCGCCGCCGCCGCAGCCGCCGGCGGCGCTGGGCAAGTCCATGAGCGTGCACGTGCTCAACCAGGGCGGCAGCATCGTCATCCCGGCGCAGCACTTCCAGGGGCAGAACCAGTTCCTGCTGCCGGGCCAGCTGGCCGGCGCCTCGGCCGTGCAGCTGCCGCAGCCGCTCTCGGCGCTGCCGGCCAACGTGGGCGGCCAGATCCTGGCGGCCTCGCACGGCGCCGGCATCATCGCCGGCCAGGGCGCCGGCGCCCAGCTCATCGCCAACCAGGCGCTGCCGGCGCAGATCTTGACCAACCAGAACTTGGCCGGGCAGCTCAACCTGGGCCAGGTGCTGACGTCGCCCAACGCCCACGGCACCGCCCACATCCTGTCGGCGCCCATCCAGCTCCAGCCGGGCCAGGTCGGCCAACCCGCGCTCTTCCAGATGCCGGTGTCGCTGGCGGGGACGCTGCCCAGCCAGAGCCAGGCGGCGGCGGCGGCGCCCACGGTGATCCAAGGGGTGACGTTGGCCAACCAGGTCATGCTCAACGCCGGCGACGGTTTGGGAGCCGCCGTCAGCATCCAGGCGGCCCCCGGCGCCGCCCCCGGCGCCAGTCCCAGCCCCGGCGCCGACCCGGGCTCCGTCCTCACCGTCCAGCCCGCGGCTCCCGCGGCGGCGCCGCTGCAGCTCAACGTGCCGGCGGCGGCGAGCGGGACCTCCCAGCCCAGCCCGGGGCTCGCCGGCAGCCCCGAGAAGATCCTGTTGGGCCCCGCGGCCGCGCCCGGCACCGTCCTGGGCCAGGAGTCCATGCAGATGTTCCTGCAGCAGGTGAGGGGGCTCTGCCCGGCATCGGGGGGGATTCCGGCCCCACGCCCAGTTGGGGATTGTGGGTGAGTTGGGAGGTTGGGGTTGAGTTGGAGTTGGGGTTGATGTTGAGGTTGGGTTGAGGTTGAGTTTGAGTTTGAGGTTGAGTTGACGTCGAGTTGACATTGAGGTTGAAATTGGGGTTGGGGTTGAGGTTGAGTTTGGGGTTGACTTTGAGGTTGGGGTTGATGTTGACATCGAGTTGCGGTTGAGTTGGGGTCGAAGTTGGGGTTGGGTTGAGGTTGAGTTGAGGTTGGGTTGAGGTTGAGTTGGGGTTGGGTCAAGGTTGAGTTTGAGTCGAGGTTGAGGTTGAGTCGGGGTTGGGTTGAGGTTGAGTTTCAGGTTGAGCTTGTAGTCGGATTGACGTTGAGGTTGAGTTGGGTTGTTTGACGTTGAGTTGAAGTTGATGTTGAGTTGGGGTTGGGTTGAGTTTGAAGTTGAACTTGAACTTGTAGTTGGATTAATGTTGAGGTTGAGTTGGGTTGTTTGACGTTGAGTTGGGGTTGAGGTTGGGTTGAGGTTGAGTTGGGTTGATGTTGACTTTGAGGTTGAGTTGGGGTTGAGGTTGAGTTGGATTGGGTTGATGTTGACTTTGAGGTGGAGTTGGGGTTGAGTTGCCATTGAGGTCGGGTCGCTGTTGTGTTGAGGTTGAGATTGAAGTTGGGTTGAGTTGACCTTGAGGTTGAGTTGGGGTTGAGTTGGGTCGAGGTTGATGTTGGGTTGACGTTGAGGTTGAGTTGAGGTTGAGGTTGAGTTGCGTTGACATCAATGTTGACGTTGAGTTGCCGTTGAGTTGCCGTTGAGTTGATGTTGAGTTGACGTTGTTGAGTCTTGGGGGCTCCAACGTCTCATTCCGGGCGTTCCCTCCTCGGGAGCGGCTCCGCTGTCGCTCTTCCCCCGGATTTGGGGTTTTCCCTCCGGATTTGGGGGGTTCGTCCTTCCAATCCAACGGGGGGGGGGAGGGGCCGCTCCCTGCCCTCATTTCCCACGTTCCCGCCGGGATTTTCTGGTGATTCCCAGCGGGATTTTTCCCGGGTGATCCCAAATCCACGGGAAGTTTGGTGGGCTGGGGGCACGGCGGCTCCTGGTTTTCCTCGCCGGGAAAAATCCCTTTTCCCGATGGAAAACAGCCCCGGGAATGCGGGAGAACGACCCGGGGAGGGAAAACCGGGATCCAGGGGCAGAAAACCAGGATCCAGGGGTGGAAAACCAGGATCCAGGGGCGGAAAACCGGGATCCAGGGGCTGAAAACCGGGATCCAGGGGCTGAAAACCGGGATCCAGCAGGGCAAAACCAGGGATCCAGCGGAAAACTGGGATCCGGGAGTGAAAAAACCGGGAATCCAGCAGCGGAAAACCGGGATTCAGGGGCGGGAAACCAGGATCCTGCAGCAGAAAACTGGGATCCAGCAGCGGAAAAGCGGGATCTGGGACGGGATTCCTGCAATTCCAACATTCCCTTTGGCCCCGGTCCCGCTAAATCCCCCCCCCGGCATCCGGTTTTCCCGCTGGATCCGTCCCCAAACTTCCCAGGATTGGGACGAACCTCCCGGAATTGGGCGGATCTTGGGGGAGCTTTGTCACCTCCAGGCCCCAATTCCGGGGGTTTTCCAGCCCTTTTCCCCCTCCAAGTCTCCAATTCCCAGTTTCCCGCCCTGGGCCGGAGCCGGGGGGGGGTTGGATCCCCCCCATTCCCGTTTTCCATCCCGTTTTTCCGACCGTTCCCGGCCGCTCCCGCTCGCTTTGGCTTCACTAACCCCGGAAGCTGCTGCTTTTCCTGCTTTCCCTGCGCTCCCGGCACGGGCGGATCCCGAAATTCCTGGGTTTTCCCCCCCCCCCAAATCCTTCGGGATCGTCGCCAGGCCCGTTCCCAACTCCGGGAATTCGGGAAAAGCCTCCCTGGGGGGGGGGTGGGGGGGTTTGAATCCATCCAAAATCGTCCCCGGAGCGGGAAAAAAACCAGGAATGGGAGATTTTTTTGGGGAAGCAAAGCGGAAAATGGGGATTTTTCCGGGATTTGGAGCCGGTTCCGGCTCGGAGCCGCTTCCTTGGGAATGCACAGCCGGAGCTTCCCGGGTTTTCCCTTCTCCTGCTTCCCAAAAACACCCGGAAAAGTGGGATTGGAGGCAGGTTTGGGATCCAGAGAGTCGGAGGGGGGGGAGTTTAGCAACTTTTCCCTGGATTTGGGATGGAATTGGGATCCAAAGGGTCCCCGGGGGGGAGTTCAGGGCCCCTCAGGGGGTTTTTCCCGGGATAATCCAACCCTGGAGCTGCTTTTGGAGCCGCTTTGGGAATCCACAGGTGGATCCTCGGGGAGGGTTTTCCTTCATTTTTATTCCCAAAAAACGCCCATCCAATGGATTTGGGATGGGTTGGGTTCCAGAGGGTCCTTGGGGGGGGTATCCAGGCCCTCTCAGGGTTTTTTTTTTCCGGGATAATCCAATCCTGGAGTCACTCCTGGATAATTCTCTCTTGGAAGTGCACTTTAGGAATCCACAGGTGGATCCTTTGGGGGTTTTTCCTTCATTTTTATTCCCAAAAACCCCCCAAGGAGCAGATTTGGGATGGGTTGGGTTCCAGAGGATCCTGGGGGGGGGGTTTTCCAGGCCCTCCCAGGGGGTTTTCCCAGGATAATCCAACCCTGGAGCTGCTTTTGGAGCTGCTTTGGGAATCCACAGGTGGATCCTTTGGGGGGTTTTTCCTTCATTTTTATTCCCAAAACCCCCCAAGGAGCGGATTTGGGATGGGTTGGGCTCCGAGGGATCCTGGGGGGGGTTTTCCAGGCCCTCCCGGGGTTTTTTCCGGGATAATCCAATCTTGGCGTCACTCCTGGATAATTCTCTCCCAGAGGTGCTTTTGGAGCCACTTTGGGAATCCACAGGTGGATCCTTTGGGGGGTTTTCCTTCATTTTTATTCCCAAAACCCCCCAAGGAGCGGATTTGGGATGGGTTGGGCTCCGAGGGATCCTGGGGGGGGATTATCCAGGCCCTCCCAGGGGGTTTTCCCAGGATAATCCAACCCTGGAGCTGCTTTTGGAGCCACTTTGGGAATCCACAGGTGGATCCTCGGGGAGGGTTTTCCTTCATTTTTATTCCCAAAAACCCCCCAAGGAGCGGATTTGGGATGGGTTGGGCTCCGAGGGATCCTGGGGGGGGGTGTTTTCCAGGCCCTCCCGGGGTTTTTTCCCGGGATTTGCCCGTCCCAGCCCCCTTTTCCGGCCCGGACTAACCTTCTGCCTCTTGTCCTTTCTGTGTTGCAGCCGAAGCTCCCGGGGACGGGATCGGGACCGGGAACG